ATAATTCATTCATCTTAATTTTCAGCTGAAATTTTACCTACTCATGAGTAGCTCGTTAAGCGCCAATTAATTTTTTCTATAGTGTCGAAATCAACTACCGTTTACAACTACAGGAATAGTAAATATACCTTGCATTGACTGATGTAATAGTTTTAATGGCTCAGTTGAATCTTAATATGCGTAGAAAACTTTAATTAAATTCGTACTTGGGGATTTTATGTATATTAATGAGACTATAATTTATGAACGACCTTTGAGTGACGCTAAACTGACTTTGAGAATGCCCACTTAATAACGAGGACCAAATGAAGATTATGAACCTGTATAAGGAATTATAATTATAATTTACAGTTGATGATTAAACTTGGGAATTAAATTTTGGGTTTTCATCACGAACTAACATAAGCTATAATGCCAAAACTCCATTTAGCCAAATAGATGAGTGAATTTCGCGCCAAAATCCGGAACCTGTTATCTTATACATGATTCGTTCGTCCATAAATTATAGACTCACCTGTATATTTTGTAAACTATTCCATATATATAATCGTTTTTCTACAGATAACAATATCCAATGTCAGGTCTGGTACTCTTAATGGGCATAACATCTCTCGATAACTCCATCACTATGTATTGTTGGCTATTAAGAATAACGGATATTGATTTATTTAAATATTTTACGACTTTCCAGTAAGGTCTCAATATGTTTAGTCAGTGATATTACACATGATGTGCATTTGTGAAATGTAGTTTTTTCAACAATTTTGTAAGAAATCCTCCAAAATACCCATTTTATATGTATATAGAGTTATATAGCTATAGAGCTTAGTTATTTAAATCACCTATGTAATAAACTACGCCCATGATTGCGGTCTATTCAAGTTATACGGAAATAAACTGACCTCCTAACTTAAATCGAAGTCATACTTATAAGTTAATATTTAACCGAAATGACCCTTTCGTGGTACTTGGAGGCTATGGTTACCTCGATGACCGTTTAAAATAAACATGTCGTTGGCGAATAAATGTATTGGTAAGAATAGTTAGAAAAATAGTACGCCCGCTGCCGAATGAGCCAGAACATGTTCTGCAAATGATTGATTAGCATTGTTTGTCCTCGACCCTACTGATGGTTTTTTAAATATTCGACAGTCAGTGACCCACTTACTGGATAATCTGGCTAGGGCCCAGTGATATTACATTGGCCCTACATTTATACCACAGTATTACAGGTCGCATTACTTTTTCACATATCTACGAACCTTGGAAGTGGGTTTTTAGCTAGTGTTAAATAAGTAAAATTCATTCACTTTGTGACATTGATTTTAGTCCTGTGAAAATAACAATAGTAAGGACTTTAATAATATGCAACTGCTTTTTAATAACATACTGAAGCAAAAGACCATATCAATCATACTGGAACTGGCGTTTTTAGTATTCAGATCACTGTACATACCTTAATATATGTAACATTATTCTCCTATAGCTTCAGCTTTCTTAAGAACCAGTCAAAGGTGTTTGATAGTGTGCTTTTGAAGAGTGTTGTGAGTCGACCCCACCTCAATTTTCATCCCATTGGGATTAGCAGTAAATTCTCATTACATATATTTCTAAACCCTAAAAACAGGACATCACGAGTACAATACATATGACTTTTTACATTCCCAAAGGTGCATCGTATAATACTTAATTAAGATACCAGCATAGATTTAATACTTCACAAATTGGGTATGTCTGGTGGCGTCACCTTATTACCCATACTTGAAAACAACTACTACGATCTCTACGACACGAATAAAGTTGAATTGCAACGAGCAATTGAAGATCTTAAGTGAATACGAGTAAAGTCTAAAAGTGTTTATAATAAGAAATAATGCGGCAAATCCATATAACCAGCCAGTTAAAAACATCTACATTAACATTTTGTTTTGTGTTTCTTGACAGTGTTCGCAGATAAATAACAAAGATATTAATGAAAGCTCAGGACGAATTTATATGTCCCATATAGATGTTTTCTGTGGTATACCATGAGGGTGCCAAAAAAGAGAGAGAGAAAGAGAAGGATGGGAAGCAGAACAGACAGTTTTCATAACTAGTGAAGTTTAGTCATTTGTAATCGAATAATTGAAACACAATGAGACCGCCATTAGTTGTCGGATGTGAATTTTCGGTTTTCGTCAAATATCATCTTTTGTGTATGTTAACTATGATCCAAAATCTAAATTGCCATATTTTTAGATATTCGAGTCTTTCTTGACTAAACCTTCATTGTTTTAACTTGTCTAAGATGTACCTTCAATTTCTTATCTTATTGTACAACCCAGCATCATTGACAATATGATCTCGTTTGACTACAATCAAGGTTACAGAATACAGCGATTGATGATGGTCACTCTTTGACCTTATGCTGAAAACATCTGTTGATTAACTTGAATCCCGCAGACATAGTTTTGGTTCCATTTTGCTAGGGATATTCCTGTTAGTATGTAGAATTATGGTCTACTTCTGTATTAGTATTACTATAATAATAGATTTAATCCAAATATATTAGATTTGCCATGATATGACTACCTAATCTATGCAATCTTATATGGAAGTCCCATTATTCTTCGCACTGACTCATCCTATAGTGACTCATAAGCAGTACGACGTCTAAAATTTTTGAAGAACACATTTGGACTGGGAAGAGAGTAATATACTTGATACAAAAAGCGTGAGGCAATGTGATCACGCTTTTATGACCAAGTCATGGCATTTTGACCGAATCTTCCCGAGGTCACCTTTATTGACTTCCTCCGAGTGTTTTACGAGGCAAGTCCGTATCTAGTGAAGTAGGTGAAAGAGATAATGTGGTGCTAGTGCAAAACAACTACTCCGCACATTAGTTCATACGATCTTCGCATGTTTATAGTGCTATTGGTTCCCACTCACACGATCCCTAATCTTCATGATTCAATCCAACCTTAGTGACTAGGTTACGCTCCAGAAGTTTCTGTATAATTTACTACCTCAATTGTCTTTCCTTCTGCACCATAACAATGACAGAACATGGCCATGTCATGCTACATTTTCATTCTACTCAGCCAATCAATTATCCACTTCCATTATTGTCGGTCATTGCAGCAACTCTACAACATGTGCAACTGACAATTTGCTTCGGATCATGGATATTGAACATTTCCTTTTCTTTATTTGTGCTATGACTAGTAGAAAACCTCCCTAAGACTCTGAAATCTGAGTGATCAGTTTCGTTTCAATCGGTAAACCCAGTTTGTTTGGAATATATTTCTCCTCAACACTTTGTATATGTTATAGTAGGTGATGTCCGAAATCTGGTACTGACGCACGACGTTCTACGCGCTTGCACACCCAACTGACTACTTCAGCGAGAATACAAAAGGTGGGCGAGAGGGCATACTGGGCGACCGAACGAAATGCACCAATACTTATATGTGCATCACATAGGAAATCATTTCATTTCTTAACCAATGATATGCACTTGTCCTTCAATTCTCTGTTAATTGTCCTCAGATGACTTTCTCATCTGGCAACTTCTTCTACACAGTTACCAATCGTTGGAGTAAAGTTGCCCTAGTCTCCTAAGCGTTGTCATGCTGGACACTTTCACATTAGTGCAAGACATTTCTATTTAAACCTTGATCCTAAGGTCTCACTTGAAAGAGTTCTGACTTCTCATAGTGAAACCTAAGATGTTTCGGAAGCCGCAAGTTCAATGCTCCTTCTTAAAACCACAGCAACAACCAATACAGGTATATAAAATGTCCTCTCAACGTAGCAGATCAGTAAGACCATTCAAGTAACTGCAGTGTTCAGAATAAACGACATGAAGGTACTTGTGGAAACAACATGGATAGAAAAGACTAGCTTCGAGAGAGCTGCCGTTGTATTGTGGCCATGAGAAAGAAAACTCCTGCAATACGCAGAGAGCTGCACTGATGCCCTTTAAAGAAGCGCGAAAGTTTTCGTTAGATTTAAATCTTAAAGATAGATTTGATTAGAGGCCTAAGGCTTTATACAGGTCATCCCCGTAACCTAATGGTCCGTTTACTGTGTGTTCCTCAGTGGGTTTATTCTACATGTATCTCTATGAATTTAATCGAGAATATTCCGAAACCTGAATATCAGCTACGTTGAGAAAGCTTGGTTTGTTAATGATGGATTAAATAAACAAGCGCTCAATGAGCGAAAACACTGAGGAATAGTCGGCAGTAAAAATTCGTATACTGGTAAATTTTTTAAGAGTATTAACCAATACTTGTGTAAACTTATCGATTGCTTGTGTTTGCAACTAGTGATAAAATAGATTAATATGAGTTCAATCAAACTCAGGCATCCGTATACATGATCAATAACGTATCTAAATCACAGTAGGTAAGTAGAACAAACATAACATGCTTTTTTGGCTTCATTTGTATGACCTGAATTAAAAACTAAGTTGGTCAAAGCTCACGATATCCTATGATGAGGAACTGGCGTCAGCAAATGCAATTACGGAGACAGCGAATTAAGTCCACCTACTCACGTAAGTTCTCCTTAAATTTGTGTTTCCACCGTTTCTATGCAGTCTAAAGCCTGGAAAACGTTAAGTCCGAGGCTTCAGAAGCTTTCATTCGTCAAAGACCATGTAATTGGTAGATATATTGTATCCCAGTATTCTCTTTCCTTATACCCATGTCAGACTATAATAGACATTTTCTGAACATCAAAATTGGTCCGTGTCTCATAGCTTATGTCTACGAGATAGAAGAAACCATGTTTTCAACTATAAGACACTTTCCGCCAACAACCCTGCTTTAGTTGAATCATCCGAAACAAGCAATTGACATTATCCCGTCAGTGAAATCTTTCGAGTATAAAATGGATCCTCACGTAACGATTTACACTAAGAAATGGCATACGTCAACTGATTTACTGCTCTTAAAATTTAAGAATGTATTGGATATTGTATATGAATATTTTTGTTTTAATCTTTCACATTTTTTGTGTTACTATGACATTTAACGTTTGCATTTAATATGTTAGAAATCTCAATCAGGAAAGCTATTAATAGATTGACAAACAAGCTTGCGAGCAATGTGAACTGTAAGATAAAGCCAACTTATTGGATAAAGTCACTCGTTTAGAATGTGAAGCTTTGTTAGATATGTTCGTTAAATTTGACAGCAAAAAGCCTTTCGGAAAGTTAGATCGGATGAAGTTCAGGGAAATACTGCATCATACATTTAAAATGACAGACGACGTCATGATTGATAGAAGTAAAATCTAACTTGTCAATTTCTAGTTTTAGTCTTCCGTGTTTTTGACGGGGATTTCGATGGTGGTGTCAATGCTCAAGAATGGGTGATGGGATTATCAATATTCCTACGAGGTACTTTAGAAGAGAAAATAAAATGTAAATATATGATATAAACCAATGAATGTTTTAGTTGCATTCGATGTTTATGATCTCAACAGTGATGGAAGAATAACCAGAGAGGAAATGTTTCAGCTATTAAAGTATTCTCTTGTCAAAGTAACTATTTCGTATGTTTTACAAGTTTTCGAATTGTATCAATTACTTTTGCATTTATAAGCATGGTCATTCGATTTTACCGCACTAAGAACTGTTGCTCACGAAGATAATACACAAAAGACGGATGAAATATTTTATAGCCCCTTGATTTTCATACATTCGATCCCGCATTATCATACTTTTGCTCCATTTTATGTGTTGAAGATGCCACAGGTATTCGGAGTTTGACAACGCCTTAACCAGTAACACCCAATATGAAGCGTACCCACCAAGTGAAATCAAAAGACACAAGCGAGGTGGTTCGAAGATATATTTGATAGGCTATCAATATATCAAGGAACATCTCATCTAATCTGGCTAGCGATTGCAGTAGATGTTGAGCACGGCGTTCCATCACGTGATCGGGTGTGGGTGCATAACCGAGCGGCTTCAGCTAGATTAATCCATTAAAATTAATGTGGTCAGCACCCAATGTCAAAAACTTACAGAGTTATTTATTTTGGGAATTTATTTACCGCTACAGTGTGATTGACCTCGAAAATTTTCTGAGCCACTTTGGAAAGCTCGTATGGTGCTTGTTTTTCCGGATTACTGAATCAACTGAACGTCTTTCAGAATTAATTTGTATATTAAAATCAAATCTCTGGGCGTAAACATGGGAATCTTGACTATATATTATTTCAAAAACTTATTACCTGAACACTAGCTTGTTTCTTGTACCCTTTACCGCGCATTTGCTTTGTCATTAATAACTTAAAAACCTAGGTAGCATCCAAAATTGGTTACCAACAATTTAATTTGGTCTTAGCTAAAGGATTACCTTTGAACCGTTCAGTTTTACAGCCAGTCATTAACGACTCCATTCAAACTATTCGATAAAACGGAAGTACATATTTTTGAACTTAAGCTTGAAGAAAAATTAAAGAGATTACGTCTGTTGTAATAGGATAGTGTTCTTTTCATTTACTGCTTCTAAGCCTTTAAATGACTTATTTTTCGGCAATATAATATGGAGTCACAAAGCAAATTCTTTGTGACGCATAGTCCATTTTTATTATAATGCATATATTTAATTTGTATTTGATCTTTCAAGTGAAATAGAATGACTTGCTCTTCAAAGTCAAAGCGGTTTAAGTGTTCTGTCAGTTTTTCCAAAATCTTTCTACCCTATCTCTTGTTTTTTCAGCCATGTTTGGCATGATTTCACATTGAAAACAATGTTATTTTGCTTTTGAGATAACACCGATGCTTTAGAGAAACATTAGAAGTAGCATATATAAATTACACTTATAAATTGTTGAAAGCTTATCAAAACGTTTTGTTTTTTAATTAACTTACATGCAAACTACCGTTTACAGATAAGATGTTCTGTACTTCGTAAGTCAAAAATCAGTGCAAAGTTTAAGGCTATACCCCTTAAGTATCAAAGACGTGAATTGCTTGCATACAAAAAATTATGTTTTACTTTGAAATCTAGATAAACAATACAAGTGTATGTTGTAAATTGAATAATGTAGGTGCATGTCATGGATTACAGTTTTTATTTTTCTGTCTCCACTGTGTTACTAAGATTTTTTCCATGTTTTATCTATCATCATCTAGCCGGAATTCACTTTTCAACATGAATTTACATACCATTCATTTGGGCATACTACTTCGTACTATGATCTATTTTCATATATAACTGAAAAAATGGACTTTATTAATCAAAAACAAAAGACTTCCTGTACTAACTCAATAGTTTATTGTTAACATTAATGGACCTCACTGAAACAGATCTACAAACAGTCACCATGTAAACTTGAGTATTCAACAAAAATCCTTCAAACTAGGAGGAAATTTCTACTGACTATGAAATATTGCTAAATTTAGTTAAACCAGATACAAATATATATTGCTGATGTTTTGTGGCGTACAGCACATATCAAACATTCAAAACATGATAAATAATTTTAGCCTGAAACTAAGTAATGTTACTTGAGATCGGTGGTTGTGTGTGGTTACTGAAATTAACCCACTTATAGAATAAATGCTTGATGCTTTTCTGACCACTACTCTGTCTAACACACACTTCAGATCTTATGTGAGTTGGACTTTGGAAGCGTTTATGCTTTCTTCCTCTCGTCAATTTATAAACACTTATTAAAATTATGAACCAATCAACGTTAGAATACCATCGAGAACCTGGAAGCACAAAAAGATCGCCTCGTCCTCGTTCAACACTCCTAGACAGTGCACATCCACGATCCCTCACGCGCCATTTGGACACCAGACCTTTGCTCTTGCTCCCTAATACTTAGCCTCTATACCAATGAGACGGCATCTAACGGCGTTTATATCTAACTTCCAGGTTTTCAATGGCGGTCTAACGTTGATTGGTTCATTATTTTAAGGAAATTCAATAATCTCCACAAACCCAAACTGTATAAAACATTTATTCTGAATAGTTTTACAAATACATACTTATTGTCACAAATCAGTGATATGTAAACAACTCATAAAAATTTTAGGGCGATAAACACTTAGTTCATGACATACTCACAGTGAGGCTGGACACTAGATTTATGGTACTAGGTTAAAAGAAAGTTAATTCAATTGTTAAAAAGTCTCACAAGTTTAATAAAAGTTTGACATTTATAATAGCTAGGTAGAATAGTTAGAATAGACTCAAGCAATTTTTATACAGCTTTTCATTCCATGAGATCACTTGCTATGCCAAAGTAACTAGTCTTGAAAGCTTTTGAAAGTCAAAAACCTAATGGTCGTTTGTATTTTTCACTTCTATCCATTTTGACCACTACGGTTTTATTGAGCCAAATTGTTATAATCTGAACCTGAGATCAAATTACTTAAATTCAAGTGTTCGATCAAAAGCCAGATATTAATAACCAAAGTTATATTGACACAATTAAAGAGTGGGGACAAGTGAAAGAGTCAGTGTAATATGTAAAATGGCCGCTTATGTGTCGTAATATTTCTATCTTTAATCATTGACCAGTCATAGCTCACAATGACTAATCGCAGAACAGATACACCAATCTTTTCGTATTGCATACACTGGCAGAGTATTCACAAGAAAATCAGTCAAGACTAAACAACATCAAACATTTGTTTCTTCCTAACTTAAAATTTATTCGTCAGTGTGTATACAATCAATCTGAAAGATTATCCAGTAGATTTTATACATAACAACGAGGATGTACACTGTTGAGCAGATCCTAAGCCTAAACAACGTTACAGCTGTTTGCAATACTCTCATAAATGATGTATTAGTTTATTTCATAAAACCTATCTCCAAATAAACAAAATGAAAGATATTTCAAACAGCAAGTATATGTATTTAGAAAGAAGTCAATGTAAATATTTTGTTTAATCTTTATTCATTTGTTTATTTAAATCATAAAAGCAACCAACAGATGAGGATCCTGATGAAGGAATTAGAGAATTAGTTGAAATGGCATTTAAACGATTGGTATGTACCACTTTCATTCGTTTTATACAAATTTATTGGTTACGTTTACACCGTACCTCTTTTAGATTACTGACTGCTTTTTTTCAGAGTAGACTGATTTTCATTAGCATTGGAATCTTAAACAGACTGTTCTTTTTATGAAGGACTCAACATTTGAAGTCCCCTGAATCTTAGTGTTGATATTTATACTACGACTCGAATCAAGTGCATTTCACCCCAAACACCCCACGCATTATCCACTGAGATATTAAGTGTTGATAGTTACTAACTTGTCCAACAAGTGTGATGTTTACAAAGTTATTTATTTATTTGAACACATAAATATTGATACAAAGAGGCACCGAATGCATATGCGTCACACAAATTACTTGGTTTGTGTGGGCTATGATACTACTGCCCAGATGCCCAGACCGAAACAGGTGGTTTCCTTAGGGTGCCACATTCTGAGCCTTTGGCCTAAAGGTCTGATCTACAAGGCAATGGAGCAACGTCAAGAGATGCAGTCCCATGGTAGCCAGTGATCAATAATTGGTCCATATGCCATTTGTTTCCTTAAAATCCTGGAGCCCATGTTCACCATTAGTTTGGAATAAGGATTTTCCAACTCCCCTAGGTGTATCCTCTGTGTCCACCAACCCGGTTAAAGCGGTGGACATTCGCTTTTCGTCCTCTCAATTTCGTAAACAACACCCGTGGTGCGAGAAGGCAGTGAGTAGGACTTCCCTGGTAGTGGCTACATACGCGTGAACATATGAGAGCATTTCAAGAGAGAGAGGGAGAGAGAGAGAGCGGACTCTCGCCACCCTCGGCTGTACCAGGGCGTTTGGGGGCCGTGTACATAGTTATTAGTATTTTTATTATATTTCTGGCGAAATGTTTATATCGATGTAATCCATCTAGGGTATACATTTACTAACCACAGCTGATCAAATGTCAGTCTTGAATAACAACATTTAGACGATGTAAACCCTTATTAATCATTATATATCCCTGATTATTTTTCCTCGGTATTATTATATGAGAATTTCTATCACAGCCTGAGGTCACGTAAAATAAATCTATCTTAATTTGAGACAAAGTTAATTAAATATAAGGGATGAATTGTTTATTATTAGTTAGAGTATCTACAGTAATCATGATATGTAGATTACTACTAAAATCTGATTAAAGTTTATTCTGGAAACACAAACTATCAGTACACTAATTTATCATTTCATTAAGTGTATAGCGGTCAGAGTTCCAAGCACTGATCAGAGCAAAACCAGTCCAAAGATAATTATAAAATTGTCAGAAGGGGTTTTGTGTAGATTTTAATAATTTTGTAGTTGAATTCATGAGTCAATTGAAGCTAGACCACCATGGAAAACCTGGAAGCACTGAATGGTGTTAATGTCTAAGTTCAACCAATCCACGTTGAATACCGACTTAGTGGTCTAGAGGTTAAGCGTTCGCGCGCGATACTGATAGGTCCTTGGTTTTAATCTCGCGGGGTGGAATCGTGGATTCGCACTGTTGAGGAGTCCTATACTATGACGAAACGACCGTCCAGTGCTTCCAGGTTTTCCATGGTGGCTTATTTTTAATTAACTCATGAATTTAACTATAAAATTACAACATTGCTATTTAAAAATGAAAAAATAATACAAACAAATATTTGTAAATTCAACCTAGTTATATCCCACATGATCATTTAAATAGATTCAATAAAAAGATGAATTTGTTGCCTAACATCAATCTTTAATTGGAATTCATTGTGAATATATTCATATGAAGATGTATAATTACATCAGATGAATAATACTATCGATAGTTTGTGATCTTCTAAGATTACAAAAACTTCCATAATAATATCATAACAAAACAAAATCTATTTTTATATATGCTATGCAGCTATGATTAGAGAGCGGTTCCATCCAAGTTGTATGAATATCTAAATTATTTTGACGAAAAACTTCAACTACTTATAATTGATTTAAGTAAAACGTCTTTAAAAAAATAATTTCGAAGTCTTTCATTGAATATTTTTTTCTTTTTTACAGGATATGGATCATGATGGAAGATTGAATTACACTGATTTTCAACAAGCTGTTGAAGATAATGCTTTATTGTTAGAAATTTTAGGACAGTGTTTCCCTAATGAAGAGGTGAGTGTCAAAACGATTAAAAAGGTACTATAATTCTGATAAAACACTGGAAAGACAAAGCATATCAGATAGATTAATCACGTTTGACAAGAATTAATACAGTAATCTGATTGCCAAGTTACCTCATCAAAACTGCACCAGGCCACTGAAACATGGTCTCGAAGTTTTATATCACAGATTGATTTCGGTTAGAAAGTCGTTAAAAATCAGGAAGTACTCGACGCCATTAGGGATCTTTAAGAAAGAATCCCTGTCTGGTGATTTCTGTTTTCCAATGGATGTCTAACCTAATTCGATCCATGGCACAGAACTTCAAATTTAACGATTATCACAACACTATAATAAAAATAATGATTTCTCAGATCGGTTGAATGTTTTTATTTGAATAAGCTTGTACCATACTTCAGATTACATAGCTAGTAGTCTGACTTAATCAACTAAACGATATTATACTTTAACAATTAGACAATGACTTCTTAACGATTTCCCAATTCCATGAAGTCTTTTCTTCATTAACCTCGAAAAGGAGACAGAAAATGGGAAATACATAAAGATTTTTACTTTCACGTTTAGAGCATGTTATAGTTATATAATATACCGCTGTGGGCCAGGGTAATTTTACATTGGTTTTCAGGAGAACCAGACACCATCCAGACTTTCATGTGACAACCCAAACAGTACAGCTCAATCCCGCCTCACAGGAGAACCAGACACCGTATAAACTTTAACGCTACAATCTGAATAGTACAACTCAATCCTGTGGCGCAACCACACAGATACCAAGCATCCTGGTAGACCATTCGCACCATTCATATACACTTCCACCTCATATGTATAGTTATTCCGATTAATGATCGTGTAAATCAATTATGCTCAGCACGAACAGGCCAAAGTTGATCTATTCCGCTTACATGACAGTCAAACTCATTAATGTAAGTAATGGCGACATGCCTTACAATGTCCCAATGACGATGGCCCTTTAAAACACTGAAAAGCAACCACCAGTATGAATGAAATCGGTTAATCAGCAAACCGATTTTGTGCATGAACAGTCAACAAAACTTGCCAAAGCAATGCCGAACCATCAACAAAACCAATGGCGAACCTCCAGTCTCATATGAGACCTTCAGCTCTACATAGCCAATATAGCTTAGGTCATGTACAAACACAAAATTATTTGTAAGATTATGTTTGACTTAGAGATTCTAGAAACTTATAAAAACTATGCCTCAATGGGTAAACAATTCACTAATTATCGAATTAGGATAATGAAAGCATAGTTAACCCTTTGCTAAAATTCTCTTGAAATTTTGTAAAGAACACTGATTGATCGGAGTAGTTTACATATTCCACTTGTGGTGTATGCTACTTATGTCCGTTGACATAAGTAGTAAGTAACACTAATCGAAAGTGGAAAACCTGACAGTAGAAGGCTAAGAAGACTGAGTTGAAGAGAAGAGAAATGGAGATAGAAAAGAACTGTGAACTGGAAGAACCATACAAAGTGTGAAGGACAAATAATGGAACTTTGCAAATGAAAGTATTCAGTGTATGGTTCTAATATATTTTACGAAGATATTCTGTGATATTGTACTAAACAATAAATTGGTTGTGATTAGATGGTGGTTGGAGGTAGTCGACAGGAAACTCTGGACCCGGATTTCGTGCTACTTGGCACTCGTTAGCAGGGTGTTCCAGTAATGTTGAGAGAACTGGTGCTCACTGACAGATTCGATCCCGTATCACCCAGCTTCACAGTCAGAGACCATATTGCTACATTGCAACTTGGTCAATAGCATTCGATCTGCACTAATAAGGACTTGATACACATGACATTGATCACCACCAAGTGATCAATCAATTGTGATAGATTGGTTGTCTCCACCAGGGTGTTCATTCAGTAAATAGATAACTTAATTTTCATTTACGTTAAGATTATTCATTATGCATAAATGAAGAAATTATTAGCCCAATCAAAATGTGAAATATAGGCATCTAGACAAATCACTAAGGATACCCTTATTTATGAAATGATTGTGAACTGTAACTGTGGTGTGTGCTACTGATTTCGATAGATATAAGTAGTATGTATCACCTATCGAAAATGAAATGCCTGGAGGTAGATGATTAAGAAGATCGAAGAGAAGAGAACAAGAACAAAGAATGATTGCTATAGAAACAAAGAAACAATAAACTTTGAAACGATTGATTGACATTTTGCAAATAAAGTATTCACTGTATAGTTCTCAGATTTTATCAAGATATTCTGTAATTTTCTGTTGAAATACATTCAATTGTCCTCACTTGTGTTCTCGTTCACTACATACCTACTTTGATGAAATTATATTACACAACAAATTAAAATCTAAATGTTGTTTAAATAGTAGAGGCTATTTATGGAGGTTGCTGAACTTTGTAATTCACATTATGAACTAAACGTAGTTAAACAGTCATTACAAACCAAGAAGCACTGAACAATTATATTTTTTTTCCAAAAGTGAGACTTCATAGTATTGTGCATTGATGACGATGCATAATATCGGATCCAAGATCCTTCAGATCTAACTTTCAAATCACGAAGCTGGAATTCAAGGATTTATATCTTTAAAATTAATTATTTTGCAATATTGCACAACCATCTTCCAATGTCATTGATTGGTAACACCTAACACCTGAACTTCACTGATTATGACTTCTCATTAGAATTCGTGAGAATCACCTCTTGAAACAATGATGTATTTGATCCTCTTCTATGAAATACTATAACAATTAATTAGATTGAATAATACAACAGAGTACATTAGACCACAATACTAGATATGAGATTATTAAATCATATGATGCTCGCATACATAATATCTGATCTACCATCCAGAAAATAAATCAGAAAAATCGTTTCTTGATGAAGAATTAGCAACAATCATAGATTGATTAAGATCATGAACCGATTGATGTTAGACCACCATTGAAAATCTGGAAGCACTGGACGGCCGTTTTGTCCTATTATGGGACTCCTCAGCAATCTGTGTCCATGATCCCGCCTACGGGATTCGAATCCGGGGTCTTTAGTCTCGCACACGAACGCTTAACCTCTAAGCCACTGAGCCGGCATCCAACGATGTTAATGTCTAACCTCAACCAATCCATGAAGTCGCGCGACCATCTTCCATTGTACTGAGGTAGATACCTGTCTCTACCCGACACCGATTAGCTACACTGGTCACTGCTTCTCACTACAACTCCGAGAATTCCCTCACCAAGCTAATCATTAGTGAGCACATGGTAATTATCAGTACAGGATTGTGGAGATTATTAAGTTTTTGATTGAGATTATGAACCGATTGGTGTTAAACCATCATTAGATCCGGCGAGCAGGATCGTGGGTGCGTACTACTGAGGAGTCCCACAATGGGAAGAAACGACCGTCCAATGCTTCCAGTTTTTCAATGGTGGTCTAACATCAATCGGTTCATGATCTCAACCAAAAACTTGACAATCTCCACAACCCCTAAAACTGATAATCATACATTGGGAAATGTGATTAGAATTATAATGAAATTAATCTTTCCATATAAAAATAATCTATGGTTGGTCTACAGAGAAACCTATCCGTTTTTTTATTTTGTTTACTGATCAATCACATGCTAATTTCACTACCCACATATCAATCATGAACATCCTGAAAGCTGATATTGTTTAAGCAACAGTGGAATTTCACTGTTCTGATATGGTATAAGCAATTTGAACTAATACACACATCTCCAAGGTTTAATGTTACTTATGATAGTTTATCTAATGCACAATAAGAAATCGATCAATAATTTATAAAACATTATCATAGTAACCAAATTGAAATTAATTTTAACAATCTGATCGGCTGACCTATTAACTGCTTAAGTTTCAGTATTAGAATTTCTCATCTAGATGATTTCATATCCTTTGTGAACAATACATTTATGATATTATTTGTAATTTCAATAAAGTCGGATTTTGACTATCAGTGGAATTCAGGCCAAGTTTCATCCTAAGGCTTGTAAGTTGAATGTACCTACATCCTAGTATTGGTATTCACATCTACTAGATCTAACCATCAGGTATAAAACTGTATAACTATATGTAAGAGTATGAGTTTTTCCATTGTTGATATTAAGTACTTATAACTAAACTGTACTATGGATACACTCCACTCAATATGTACATAGGATAATAAAGAGAGCTATTCATCCTGTTCTTCATTATCACTAACAGGAAAACTTTAAACTCATACATATTTACTTACTTATACAACCATTACATATTATCTTCCTTATCCTTTCTTCTTCTTCTTCTTTTTCTTTCTTTTTACTCAACAGGTAGCTACAGCCTTTTTATCAACATTTCAAGAGATTAAAGTACCAGAATCGATTTGTTATATTAAACCAGCTAAATCATTTACAAGTTCTATCAATGCATAAATGAAGAACAAAAAGAGAAAGGCAGAAAAAAATGTATCATTGAAATATATCGATTTGAATATTGTTTTTATTTGATTAATCGTATTCATAAAGCTTATTTAATAAATTCTGTCTTGTAGATTTTGTATACAGCAATAGATCTTCTGAGTTGAGCATGGTTCATATGGTAGATACTTAGAAAATTAAAAAATAAACTCCACCTGGAGTCCCTTTGAAGCTATTACCGGTCCCAAGCCCAAATAAAGGGGAAGGTTTGGTTATGAGGTTAGCGACCCGCGGCCTGCTTGAATATCTGGGCTACCTGTTCCTCTCATCTAGATATTTCGTCAAGTTATCTGTTTTCTTGTTTGTTTTTAACACACTATTATGTCTATTGAGCTCACAACCTATTCAGGCGAGTTTACGAAAAGTTTACAACCTTTCGCTGTACGGATTACAAAAAGGTACAACCAGCGATATCATGGTGGTTTGCAATATGCATTGAAACGAATGTACACTATTCAAATGTCGATTATCGAACTCCTAACATCTAACTGGCCATCACTCAATATTTATCGTCACGATCGATCCAGATATAAGAAAAGGAAACTTGTTGAAATACTTTATGCTGAGAATTCAATATTGTACCAAAAATATAATGTTGAATAAAGCTTATAATAATAATAATAATAATAATAATAATAATAATAATAATAATAATAATCCCGTAGAAAACTAGCCCGTTAAAGAAAAACGTTGACCGAAAAAAAAAGAATTCAAACCATTTAAACTTTGCCCTGGGAGTTAGAAAGTTTTCATTTCGAAGAGTTATGACGCCTCATCGTGAATGTCGATTTCCTTCGTTAGTCACGAGGTTGATGCTTCCTTCTGACAACCAGATCAACCATTAGTTTAAGTACATGGAAT